ACTCCATCCGTGCTCCGTGGCCCCCACAAATCCTGGGGTGGGAGGGGCTAGCCCCCATGCCGTGCAGATCCAAGAGATGCTAGACGCCAGTTGACCCTGGCTTCTGGAGCTGGTGAGGGAGACTTCTCCGTGCCTAGAAGGTCAGCAAGCCCCCGCTCCCTCCCCTCTGCACTTCCCTGCCCTCAGCTGCCTGCAAGGCTGCAGGCCATTCATTCTGACTCTCACTCTAACACATTCATTCTTTACCTACACCCTTCCGACCTGCTCGAGAATTCTTTCTTGTTCAGAGTGAAAGACCCTCTCCAGTGCAGGTTGAGGTTCCACCAGGTGCACAGGGAGAGACCCCCCAGATGCAATAGCCTGGCAACAGATGGTCTGCCTACAGACAGTCATGGATGGCACCAAGGGGTGTGATATTTAGTACTAACGAGCATATAATGAACTTGGGGGTAACTGTAGGTTACTTAGTTCCCCATCCCAAATTTAGTTGGTTGGAACCAGTTATTTTCCTAGAATCCTGCTGGTTTGGTTTCGCTTAGCCTGTCCTGCCAGCTGGCCATGCGAACTGGCCTCAAGGTCTTCTTGGCTTGCCAGGCTCTGGCTCTTCCCCTGAACCCCACAGCCTGTGTCAGTAGTGCCTGCTCAGATGTTGTCATGAGGAGCATATAAGTTAATATTTATAAAGTTCTCAGAACAGAGCTTTGTACATAGTAAACTCTCTTTAAGCACTGCAGAACAATTATAAAGTCTTATTTTTTTGTTGAGTCCTTCATTCATTTTTGAAAGTGTCCTTTATCTCCAAAAGAAATCCTTTATCCCTTAGAGGTCTTAGAAGTGCCCATGAGTTTGTTCCAAAGACCCTACCCTGTAGTTGTGGGGTTGAGCTGTGTATAAAAAATTAATAAACTGAGAAATAAGACACAGGAGAATCAAAATATGAGCTGTTTAAGCTGGCAAAGCAAATCGGGAAACAAGGGTTCATCTGTAGCATTTTCAGTTTGCTCACTGAGTTACAGACAAACCTGGACAACCTGGGACTCACACACAATAAAAAATCCAGCCATCTTTCTATGCAGAAACTATAACATGGCCACAAGGAGCTGAGAGATGACATTTTTCTGTATGTCCTTTATCCAAACTGTTCCTGTTTTGGATAATTCCCCACTGTGTGACACTTGGTGAAAAGCTGTACAGAACCATGTTCAGGACTGTCCGGAGAAAACTTCTGAAGGTGGGATGAAAGTAAATCCTGGTTCTGCCCAAACTGTCCTGGAACTTGAGCAGTTACTTAATGTGTTTAAGCCTCAGGTTCCTCATAAGCAAACTGGGAATAATAATGCTATTTATTCATGGAGTAGTTATGAAGATTAAATGAGTCAAGACATGTAAAGCTCTAAGAAAATGTCCACTTTCTAGGAAGCTATATAAGTGAGACCTGTTATTTTTATGCTTACCATGCTCATAGTTCAGCTGGCAAAAGAATGTATCTCAGTCTCAGGGATGCAGTGAATAACGTACAGAAGTTAGGGTAATTAGCATTTGTTTACAGTGGGTGTTGTGACATGTTACATTAGCAAGAGTCCGACAGTTATGATAATGGTGGTCAAAGAGCAGGCTGTCTGTAGGTGTGGCACTGTGGCAGAGAAACAGTCTTAACAAAACTGCTCCAGGGGTCTTATCTTGCCTGTTTCCTGCCTTCTGGTTTCCTCTGTTTAACATTGTTTTTCACAGCCTCATTCATTATCCAACATTCTCCTTGGTTTTGTGAGCACCCCATTATTCTTCCAATGAATTCCTTTTCTGCTTAAGTTAGCCAGAGTTGATTTCTATTGTGTAGACCCACAATCACCTCTCTCCCCCATGTACCACCACATCTGTGTGATAGGCAAGGATGGAGACAGTAGAGGGAACCTCAGGAGAAGCAGATTGCCACTGCCAGGTTTGTTCTATGTCCTGAGGCGTCTCATTCTTTAATTCCCAAATGGGCCATGACTTGGCTCCTGGCACAACATACCAAACATCGAGAATTTTAAATGACTGATTTCTGGTCTTAAATCTAGGGAAACAGACACGCTTCTTTGTCCCTCCTCACATTATCTTAGCCTATGTACTGTTGACCATGGTGTTGTGTCCACTTTTGTTCTAGTAGAGGAATTCTAACTAAATTGACTGGAAATAAAATAAAAAGAAAGGTGATGAGAGAGAAGCATATTTAGATCAGTTCTCAGGTTTCCTAATTCCTAACAATATGTAAATACAAATTTATAATAGTTTCTTTTACTAGCAAATGACAAAAAAAAATCAAGCTAAAGTATAAAAAGTACCCTAATATCAACACCAGATAAGTACATTGCAATTAAAGAAAGCTACAGATGCAAAAATCCTCAACAAATATTACCAAACCAAACCCAGAAATGTATAAAAAGAATTATACACATGACCAAGTGAGATTCATTCCAGGCATATAAAGCTAATTCGATGTTTGAAAACTGGTCAATATAATCCACCATGTCAATAGACTAATAAAGAAGATTAAAATGATTATATCAATTGCTGCAGAAAAGTATTTGACAAAATACATGAAAATAGGGGCTTAGTTACATACATGCAATTTTGAATTTCTAGAGTTGTTTTAATGCTCAGCCAGACTTTTTAAACCAAGGTTCATAGCTTTCTTGCCAAGTCAATTCCTGTAATTACCTGAAAGTTTGTCTTCTATTTCTACTACTAGGTTCAATAAAAGTCACCACATCCAAAATTTTTTCTTAGACATAATTATTCAGCTTTCTTTATTTGCCTCCTTACCCCATGACTTTCTCTTTCAGTTTAATAGCAGCTGTGTTATTTATGTGCCGCTTATAAAACATCACCCAAAACCATGACATAAAACAATAACCATTTTTATTTCCTTATGTGGTATCATGTATGAGATACTGGAAGAGAAAAAAGGACATTATAGGAAAAACTAATGAAATCCAAATAAAGTATTGGATTCAGTTAATAGCAATGTGTGAATATTAGGTTCTTTGTATTGACACATTTACCAAGTTAATGCAAAATGATAGAATATGAGAGCTTATATTATCTCTGCACCTTTTCTATAAATCTAAAGATGCCCCAAAAGCTTTTATTAAAAGTAAATTTTAAATGTGTCCAGCAGAAGATGCATCACCATCATCAAAGACTTAGGGCCAGAAGGGAATACTTGTATTACAACACTCTGCTCACACTAATGTCAGCATGACCATCTTCACACATTCGAACACAGTTTTACAAATACTGAGAGAGTGAGTGCCTCGTAGTATGTGGGGCAGAAAAGGAAACATCAGCGCACATTTCTATGGGGAGTTTTATTGTAGAATTGAGTTCCCTGAGGATCAAAATAAAGCACATAGCGTTATTATACTAAGGCACTGAATGTAGATGATGTTTATTACTGATAAGTAGTATAATATTTACAGTCTCTATGGCTATTTGGAATCATTCGAATTAACTGCACAAATAGTATGTATGAAGTAATTTTCCAAACTGAACCAGACAGTAAACTTTTAAATAGTTTTATGTTTTAAGTCTTCTTACGTCTTACTAAATAGAATCTATTTGGTATACTACCCGTCAATGTAGTTTCCAGGTAATTGTACCCATAAATGGGAATTAAAAACATTGAGAAAGTAGATGAAAATATTCCAGCAAAACAACATGAGTCATGACTCTGAAATGCTCTGTAATTCTGCATAAAGGCTTATTTTATGGATGATGAATTATAAATATCTGTGCTTCTAATATTTGATATGTTAATATGATTGGGCTAAAACCTCCATTGATTCATTCATTCATTTGACAAATATATGTTGAAATCTATGATCCAGAAACTCATTTAGGTACTGTGGATAGAGTTATGATCAAAGTGGATGAAGCTCCTACTCACATGGAGTTTGCGTTCTAGTTTGGAGACATATATAATAAATGGATGAACAAATAAATGTTAGATGGGTGTTGATAAGGATATGAATCATGAAGCAGAATGAGGAGACAATGGTCATGGGGGCAGGGAGCAGATATTTTCTAAAGGCGACCTCTCTGATAGCATAACATCTAAGTAGAAATATGAAGAGAGTGAGAGAATATTCCAGGCAGTGGTAACAGCAAGTGGAAAGGCCCTGAGACATGCTTGGAATTGCCAAAGAACAGCAAGGACACCAGTTTGAACAAAGTAGGATACATGAATGGGAACGTGACAAAAGATTTTGTAGCTCAACTAAGTCATCAATGAATGAGTGGCATTAACCATTTTAAATCATTTATAGAAAGAAAAATCTTTATAGCTTTTATTCTCAATGCATTTTTATTTTTTACAAAACAAAACATGAAGTTTTGGTTGTGGTTACATGGATAGATCAGAAGACTTTTTTCTGATCTATCTTCTTTTTTTTGTAGTCTTACTCTGCTATATTTTTCTTTTTGAAAATTATCATGTGAACATGTTTGTAATAAATGACTCAATAAAGACAGAAATATTAATTAATTTAAAATAGCTCTGGAAAGATTGTGCCTTACAAATCACTTACATTTATTTTTTAAAACTTCATCACATTTTGTCTGAATCTAAAACTAGCAACAGATTTTCCATTAGAGAAATAAATAAGATTACACATAACAATATATGTTCTTATACCCCAATTAATTACTTTAACTTTCTTTTTAAAAAATTAGCTGTATTCCATTTATTTCTTTAGCAAATTCCCTACTCTTATTTGTATGTGCATCCATGGGGCACATGAATGGGTTTATGCAGGTTCTTATTTTGCATGTAAGTTTGCATTCACATGTGGTAGCAAAATGCATGATATTTGGACATTGCGTTAAGTGTCTGGTAGATATCTGACTTTATGTCAGGGGAGGACATTACTTCTAGAAGGTAAGTACAATGTGGGCCTTACTAGGGAGTCATTGAGCAAAGAACTGAGAGATGAAACTAACTTATGGTGGAATCTACATTATTAAAGGGCTAATCCTAAAGCCAATTTTGCCTTCTCAACCACCTTCTGGAATGCACTCTTGACTTCTTTGTTCCTCAGGCTGTAGACCACAGGGTTCAGCATGGGGATAATCATAGTATAGAACACGGATGCGATTTTGTCTGTGTCCATGGAATGGCTGGAGCTGGGCTGTAAATACATGAAGGTGACTGTCCCATAGAAGATGGAAACTGCAGCGAAGTGGGAAGCACAGGTGGACAAAGCCTTTTGGTGTCCCTGAGCTGTGTGCATCTTCAAGATGGTGATAAAGATGAACAGGTAGGAAATAAAAATAACCACTAGAGCAAAAATGATATGAAAGCTGGTCAAACAAATAAGAACCAACTCATTCCTGTGTCTATGAGAGCAAGAAAGAGCCATGACTGCTGGGACCTCACAGAAAAAGTGATGGACCACATTGGACACACAGAAAGAGAGACTGAACATGTTTCCAGTGTGGATGGAAGCAGTCAGTAAACCACAGGCATAAGAGCCTATGGCTAGACATGCGCACGCACCTGTGGTCATGGTGGTGGTGTAATGAAGGGGTTTACACACTGCTGCATAGCGGTCATAGGCCATTGAGGCCAGGAGGTAACTTTCTGTAGTGGCAAAGACTGAAAAAAAGAACATCTGAGTTGCACATGCATTGTAGGAGATGACCTTGTCTCCTGTAAGGAATCCTGCCATCAAATTAGGGGTGATTGTTGAGGAGTAACCGAGGTCCACCAGAGAGAGATTAGTGAGGAAAAAGTACATAGGAATTTGCAGATGAGAGTCCATCAGAATCAACACAATCATCCCCAGATTTCCAACAAGAGTGATGAGGTAGATGAGGGTGAACATTATAAATAGGGGGACCTGCAGTTCTGGAGAATCAGTAAGTCCTAGAAGGATGAACTCAGTCACTTCTGTATTGTTCTCCATGGATGTCACTTGGGAATCACAAGATGCCCTGTAACAATGAGAAGTTAAAGAACACCGTGTTAAATGTAAAAGAGAGTATAGTAAAATTGGAATATGTTAATACTCTGCTGATTGTTACAGTTGTAGAAATAATTTATCCAGCTCTAAAGCATGCACAGGACAAAAATACGTAGTGGATAAATTAGTTGTAATGTTATAAACTGTTAAAATTGCTGGATTTCATTGATTACTCACCCAGTTTATTAATTTGTATATAAGAAACTGCGGTGCAGAAAGAGAGAAAAGCTTATTCAACTTCATATATCTGTAATGATTCTATCTTTCACATCAGATTTCTTGAGTTCTAAAAACAGTTTCTCTCTATAGGGCTCACCTTCCTGGAGATTTGGGTAGATGGATATACATAGATGATTAGATAGATAGAGAGAGAGATAGAGATGAAAGATTAAAGATGATATAGATAGATAGATAGATAGACAGATAGATAGATAGATAGATAGATAGATAGATAGATAGATAGATAGATAGATAGATAAATAAATGATGGATAGAGATAGATAGATAATAGATAAAAGGTAGATAAACAGATAGATTTCACAGTTGATCCTCATTTTCCAAGGTAATTATGTTCTATAAGGTCACTGCAAACATAATTCTTGAATGTTTATTGCTCCTAGCAAATATACATGGTCAAATTCCTGCAAGCCTCTGGTCACATTTTCATCAACCAATACATCCAAAACCTCATTGATGTGTGTTTCTCTTTAAAGACACCTTATTTAATATATATTGTTGGTTCCCTGACATTGGACCATGGCCAACAGCGCTCTATCTCATGCCTGAATGAAGCTTATCTAATACATATATTTTGTCCTTAGGCATGCTATAATCTTATAAGCTTAGGAATATTAGACAGGACTTCAACAGTACACTTGGGGGTCATTTAAATAGGAAAATCACCAACAAAAAGCATAAAAATATGAAGACCTAGAATAAACTGCATAAAGGACACTTTATTTAAGACTAGTGGTTGCCTTTTCAACCTGAGCTGGAAATGTGCATGTCAGGCAACTCATATTTTTCACCACTCTGCACATGCTCCTAAGTGATCATAAAAGCACCACAAGTATTGATTTTGGGGTTACAAATAGATTTTAGTAGGAAAATTTGCAAATATAAAATCCATGAATAAGAGGATTGACTGTATTATATATATTCATTTAATCCTCCCAGCAATGTTATGACATTAATCATAAACCTCATTTATTTTCTGAGGTAGCTTAGGTTCGGTCCAAAATGTTGTGTAACTTTTGAAGTTTACACAAATATTAACCAGCAGAGTCAAGCTTTGCCCCGAAGAAAACTAGTTCCCAAGTCCTATAACAGTAACTAATATTTGAATTGAATTAATTCTGTTCCCTTTTCCTTATTGAATCCATTGGGTCAGTCTTAATGTTAGTTCTTAGGAGCATTGAAATGACTGAGGTATTGTTCCTAGATTTGGGACTTATCATGGACTAACAGAGGTATAAATGTAAAGTAGTTGCAGTGGAAAAAATGCATCAGCAACAGTGTGCCATTAGCAAAAGCAATTTTGAAAAGAAGGTAATGCATTGGGTGGAAAAGCACATTGGGAAGAGCCTCATTGGGTTCAAATAGTACCCAGTATTTACTCTCTGGAAGACAGTGTCCTAACCTAAGTTCTCTGAGCCTCATTTTCTTTCAACTCTAAGAATGAAGATGTAATGTGAAGAGACAATTAATTGTGAGATACTGTAAGACTGATGAGTGTTACCTCTAATACTACTATTGAAATGAAATGATGGTCTCTTTCTTGGTTTGGCTGGGAAGCAATATTCAGTCTTTAGGTTGTGGATTAGTTTTGAGGTCCGATGGCCTCACTCTTTGATTCGTCTTTCCTCACGTAGATCTTCTGATCCCTCCAGTGTGACACTCTGCCCTTCCTCTGACCATATCATTGGCTGTACTAGCCCTTTGCTCAGTTTATTCCTCAAGATACAAATTTTACCTTGGGTTGAGACAGTTTTCTTCTACCTCGAACTCATCCTTACCCTCATGACTGTCACCCCTAAGCTGGATCCCAAAAACCTAAAGTTGAAATCTCATGTTCCTGGGTTTGACTCTAGCTTTCAGATCTGGTTTTCTGGTGAGTTCTGTGTTGTATCTGTTTTCATTTGAATCCTGTTTCACAGCTTCCATTCACTGGTAACCAATCTTTTCTACGATCTTCATCTAGCCGCTCCGCAATTTCACTGTTATGTCTAGTTCTTAAAGATATTTGGGTTTGCTCGCCCTCGACAAACATAATAACTAGTTTTAGCATATGGCATGTTCTATAACCTCTGATAAGAGTATTCCATATATATGTGTGTATGTGTGTATATATATCTCCTTTCATTTACTCTTATGACTTTTTAGGTAGGCAGTATAATATTTATGCTATAACTTTATAAGGGTGACTGATAAGTTGACAAGAATAACTTTTTAATTATATTGTTCTACAACTTTACTTACAGTGTTATAAGGTACTGAGTATTATTATTCACATTTTGTGGATAAGGAATTAAAGATTTGGGAGGTTATATGACTTCGTAAAAGCCCACACCCAGCAAGAAATAGACTCAAGATTCATTTCCCGGTCAGGTAGATTTTAAAGCCTGCGCCCTTAGTTACCACACTTTTGGGTTTTATAAATGTTCTAATAACAATAATATGAGTGAATTAAGAGGAAAAGAAAGTTGAAATAGAGTAAAAGGCTTTATAATCCATGGCAATCCTCTTGGAGTCTAAAGAAGTATCATTTCACCCTGTTCTACTTCGTTTAGCCTCAGTAACAGGCCTCAGGTAAGAGTGAACAGAATGAAATCGCCACCTACTCAACCAGAGCATAATCTGTCCTCTGCTTTTGTTGTTGTCCATCCTCTTTAAAAAAGCAATGGGGTGTTTCCAAAGTATCAGTAAACTCCCGAATTCGTTGACTCATGTTGATGTACATTTTGACATTTACAGATCACCTCCACCTCACCATTTCAGAAAAATATTCGACATCCACTCCTTTGCCAAAATAATTCATGCTAAACACAGCTTCTCTTCCCTGTTTTTGCATGAATTACACCTCATGTGTAGGCAACATAGAAACTTACCTTGCTCCTTGACCAAAAGGAAAGGCAGCATGAATTGCATGTCTGATAACAGAAATTCAACCAGGATAAAATGTATGTATCCTATTGAAGAAGATCTCTCAATAATGGTAATAAGTTTTCAAGGTCTCTGAAGCATAGAGCAATAAAAGAAAGATCATGGTCACGGAGCCGGAGAGCCTGGGTTCAAGTCCTGCACCTCCCGTGTATTCTTCATGACCCCTTGGAAGAGTCATGTACCTCTGTCAAGCTCAGTTTCCTTATTTGTGAGAAAGAAATAATAAAATTACCTCTCCCACGCCCCTCACAGACCTCAAAACTAATCCACAACCTAAGTGAGAGAGTCAGTCAGGTGCAGACAAATGCTATATGGTTTTACTTATATGTGGAATCTAAAAACATCAAACTCATGGAAACAGAGTAGAATAGCAAAGGAGGGAAGATCTATAAAATAACTTGGCGAGGGGGCTTTCGTTTTAACTTCAATCAGTATAATTCTTATCTTGAAGGGTTTTCCTTGGCTATGGTTTCAGGCTTTAAGCAAATCGTGTTTGGCAGAAGACAGGCATAAATGCTAGGAATAAACAAATGAACAGAAGGGTTCTGCACACAGACTGGTCCTCCAAAATGATGTTAAATGGAATGATTTCAGGATTCCAAAAGTGAATGAGTGGAAGCCAGGAGAAAGTGGTAGGAACAGAGTTCTCAAGGTTGCAGTTCCCCTGTGAGAACATCTGCAGCTCCTCACCTCACATACCTACGGAAGAAGCAATTAAACTGTCACCGGGGAGTTGAAGTGTCTGTTGAGTAAGCTCACTGACCCATATGCATCACTTGCCTTTCTTCTTTTTCATTTCCTAATTAAGGTATAATTTACTTACAGTTATATCCACACTTTTTAACGTATAGCTCTAAGACATTGCACAAATGAATGTGGCCATATACCTACGAACACATCCCTTCCATCACCCCCAAAATTTCTTGTACCTCTTGGTAATTGACCCCTCCTTCTACCTCCCAGCAACCACTGTTATTTCAGTCCCTGTGGTTTTGGCTTTGTAAGAATATCATTAAAAAAAAAAAAAAAGAACCATACAGTAGGTTGTCTTCTGAATCAGACTCCTTTCTCTTAGTATAATGAATTTGAAATTTATGGAGTTGTGTATCCATTCTGTAATTGGTTCCTTTTTTTATTGCTGAGATGTATTCTGTGTATTCAACACAGATTGTTTATCCATTCCATAGGTGAGGGAAATTTGGGTTGTTTCCAGTTTTTAGCCAGTACAAATAAAGCATTCACTTGCTGGATTTTATGTGGGCATATGCTTTTATTTCACCTGAGCAGATTCTTAGGAGGAAAATTTCTAGGTCATATAATACAGCCAACCTGTTTTCCAATTTTCCAAAATAGTATACTACTCTGTATTCCTGCCAGCAATGTATCAGAATTCTGATTACTTCGCATCCTTGACAGCACTTGATATCTACAGGTGTGCTTTTCTTTGGTGTTAGTCACTCCTAATAGTTGGCAGTGCATCTCCTTCTTATTTTAGTTTGCATTTCTCTAGTGACTAATGATGCTGAGCATCTTTTTATGTGGTTATTTGCTATCCCTATTAAATCTTTTGTAAAGTGTCTGTTAAAATCTTTTGCCCATTTTCCTTGTATTTGTTTTGTTATTACTGGATTTGAGAATATGTATTCCAAAATACAAGGCATTTAGTTATCAGGACGGATACATAATTCCCAAATACTTTCTCCTAGTTCTGATTTGTCTTTTTGTTTTCAACCAAGTGTTCCAACTATATCACTTGGAAATGCCATACTTCCCCTTTAAAACTG